GGCTGAGCAGCTGGTGGTAGTTAATCCCCATGAGGAGACTGGCAATCAGCTCTGTGGTGGGATCTACCAAAAGCAGCTGGGTAGCTGCCTTTGGGTATATGGTCTGCTTACTGTATATAAGGAGAAGCTTTGAGAATGGTCTCTAGCCTATGGCACGCTTGGACCCTGCATGTAGCCGTGTCTTTGTTGAACAGCCTGCTATGCTCTGCCGACCTCACCTCGGGAATTACAATGGACTTAAGTTAATGGCCTGCCGTGTGGTTTGGTAACATCGGGACTGTGCCTTTTTACTTGTCAACCTTGGGGCTTCTCAGTCTCAGCAGCCAGCAGCTGTCTGAGTGAAGAAATGCCTCTAGCTCCAGTGGGCCAAAGCAGAAGGCAAAGCTGGAACCCAAGGTTGAGGAGCTTTCACCCAACCCCTAGAACCTGACTGTGAACTTGGACTTATTACAGGCTCCAAATTGTAAGAATAAACTCCTGTTTGTTAAGACCATCCCATTTGTGGTATATCTTGTCAGAGTGGCACCAGGTAACCAGAACAAGGATGTTGCCTGAATTTCTCCTGTTGGGTGTATTACCATCTTCCCTATATTAAAGGCATTTATGTGTATGTCTCCTCTCCTCTTCTATTAGCCTATATCACAAGAAATTGCTTCTATGCAATCATTTTGACCTATAAAAACAGCAATTTCATGTATTTTACTCTAACAGATTGAAAGTTCTTGGGTTTTGAGCTCTATCTTAGTCATCTTTGCATCTCTTATAATGCCTTATGCATAAAAACGTATTAAAAAGAAATTGCTGAGATTAACTTTTACAGATCTTGCTACTTCCATCAGATAACACTATCCTACCTTACCTCCTAAATGCTATAAAAACAAAACAAAACAAGAGGACCAACCCTTTCTCCCTTTCCCTCTTCCTCTTCCCACCCCCACCCCCCCAGCTTTTCTGGTACATTTAACTTCTCCTATCCCTATCACTGGGTATCTCCAAAGCCTTGGGTCCTGGATTTAGTTCTTTATGCTTATATTTCTCTTCCATTCCAAAATCACTATTCTATTAAAGACTCTGCTTCTTACCTCAAGAGTACATAAAATAACTTCTTAGCTCTGCACTACATCTCCAAGTGGATACTTGAAGGTTTCCATGGCCCAGTATCCTCAAAGAAGGATTCAAAATAAGTCTTCCCTCAACATCCCCATTGCCATCATGAATGCCACGACTGTTCCACATTGTCAGATTAGAGGCACTGAGTCACCTCTATCATAGCTCTTTACCCAATCAGTTATCCAGTCCTGTCCAGTTTCTTGAATGCCTCCTGAATCTATTCCTTTCTCTATATATTTTTTTGCTATCACATTATACATAGATAACTCTAAAAGTGTTCATCCTGGCCTGCTCTGGCATGAAAATTCATTCTTCTATCACATTGGTTCCTCACATTTCTCTGTCCATACAGAACCCATGCTGCTCACTACCAAGTTGCTGCATCAAATCTGGACTTCCCTGCTTGGCTGTCAAAGTGCCATCACTTTAGGGCCCACTCTACTTATCAAACTGTATTTCCCACTGCTTTGGAAAATATCTATGCACTTATAACAATTTGCTCTGAAAGTCCTTTTCATATTATATTGTTTACATGTCTCTCTTCCGTGTTAGCCTGGGAGATAAATCCCAGAGCTTATCTTAGTCTTCACAGGAATCAGTACAGAGCCCAATACCCCCAGTAGATATTTAACAAAGGTTTGTTAAGTAAGTAGGCTGTTGCCCAGGAACATAGGAGGCAACTGGAGTAAACTAACTATAAAGTGACAGCTAAAGGAGTAGAGACGACCCCCTCTTATAGGTTCTCATAGCATCTTACACTGCCTTTTCACAACATTTAACCCAACTTTAAATTATATATCCAGTTGTGTGATTTGTTTAATGTCTGCTTCTTCACTCTATTGTAAGTGCCATGTGGAAGAGGCAGTACTTATTCATTGCTGTATTCCATTCTACCAGGGCATTGCTGGCCCAAAGGATTACAAGGAATGTGCAATGGTTATTTGTTGAATGAAGGTGTAAGAACCTTCTCTTTAATAAAGCTGGAGTCCTCACTAGTCCCTACACTTCCCTCCTCCAAACATTACTGCCTCTTGTCAACCTGCACATGCTGTTCTCTCTTCTCCTACACAAATTCTACCTTTACAGCCTAACCTAAATCCAACGTGCTTCATGAAAATGCTCCTATTCCAGACTCTTCATCTCCAATGATTTACCACTGACCTCTTATCACATTTATGTCCTGTTTAACAATAATATCATTACTGCTTTATCTTCTAATCATTTCTGTGTTCAAATATTTTCTCCTGAACTAGATTTGAATCTCTGCGGATACAAACAATGAACTTCTCTCATATCTTCTAATACTTTGTAGAATCTTGAGCAAGAAATACTCAACTCACTGGTTGCTTGGAAGAAAATGAAGGTAGGGACCAAGTTTATCAGAAATGAAATCAATTCTTCCATCCTTGAAGAATACACCCTATTCCTTATATGTGTTCTTAATCAGAGCAATCCAGATGACTTAGAGATTAGCATATCTGTACTTCAATTTGTAATAGACATGTCTCCAAAACTAAGAATATAATATTGTACTAGAAATTAAATGCTATCTTAAACTTAAGAGGGGGTTACCAACAGAATAAATCCAATTTTGAATACATTTCTCCTGAGTCCCCATTTATCACATACTGTATCAGGACTGCTTATCATAAAGAAACTAGGACTAGGGAAAGATAAGGAATTCTAAGGAGAAAACATCTGGAGGAAATTCTCATTCTGCCTTATAGTGAGTCATATGTTCTCCTAAATGTTAACCTTCATATTCATTCCTCAGAGCTGACATATAAAGGAAAATTTGTGTCCTATATTGTTGTTGTTGTTTTGTTGTTATGTGCTGTCGAGTCAGACCCGACACATAGCAACCCCTCCTTGGGTTTCCGAGGTGGTATTACTATGGAGGTAGATTGCCCAATCTTCCTTCCAAGGAGTGGCTGGTGGGTTTGAACCACCAGCTTTCTGGTTAGCAGTCAAGTGCCTTAGGCACTACACTACCAGAGCTCCTATATTATTAGGCAATAAAAATAGAAAATAGGGAAAAGTAAGATCTTCCTTCCGAGGAACAGCGGGTGGGTTTGAACCACCAGTCTTCTGGTTAGCAGTCAAACGCCATAGGCACTATGCCACCAGAGCTCCCCTAATTCTTAAATACATTCATTCATTTACTCATTCAAGAATTTTACTAAGCAACTACTATATGCCACATATTAATCCAGGCACTGGGAGACGAGTGAGACAAACTCATATGGTCCACTGTTGGTGCAGTGATTAAAGCATTCAGCTGCTAACCACACAACACATCAGTGGTTCAAATCTACTGGGTGCTCTGCAGGAGAAAGGTGAGGCAGTTGGCTTCCATAAAGATTTACAGCCCTGAGAAACCCTATGGGGCAGTTCTACTGTGCCCTATAGGGTCACTGTGAGTCAGAATCAACTCAATGACAATAGGTATGGTTTGGTATATGGTCCATTAAGAGAAGATAATATGAAGGAAACAGTGCTGATATGCCCTGGTAGAAGAACAAATAAAATATTGCAAAAACTCAGAAGAGGGAAAACATTTTTCTGGGGATATCAGGAAAGTTTCTTGGAGGAGGTATCATCTGAGATGGATCTTGAAACATGGTTGTGGTTTAAACATGCAGAGTTGTTAGGATAAGCAAAAGCCCACTTTAGTGAACACTCTGTCTGGCTACAGCATAGTGGAGCAGGAACAGGGGATAAGATGGGAAACAACATTGAGGACAGATGTAGAGGGACCTGAAGACAAAGCCAAGACTTGTGCACTTTTGTGAATAGAGAAGTGCTTCTTAAACATTAATGCACACACCAATCATCTCGTGATCTTGTTACAGTAGATCTGGGGGATGGCCTGAGATTCTGCATTTCTAACATCCCAGGTACTACTAATGCTTGAGTGTCAAGGACATGGGCAATGGGGGTCACTAAAAGTTTTATCCAGAGAAACTGCCTGATCACCAGTGTGCTCCAGGAAGACAAAATCTGGTAATAGCGCATCAGGCAGACTGGAATGGGGAGAAACAGCAGACTGTGGTCCTCACCTTTGGCTGTTCATTAGAAACACCTGGGAAGTTTTTACACTGCATATTGCCCAGGTCCTACTCCCAGAGATTCTGATTTAATTGGTCTAGTCTAGGGTCCAGAATTCAGTACTTTGTCCAAGTTCTTCAGAGGATTCTAATGTGTAGCCAGGGTTGAGAACCTCCACTATAGAAGATATATAGTCAAGTATTCCAATACTTCGCTCAAGCAAAAGATGATCTAAACTAGAGCAATAGCAGTGGGAACACAGTGAAGAGTTCAGTTGCATAAAAGATTGTAAACATAGAAGAAACAGACTTTAGTTACTGCCTGGGCAGGGATTTCGATATATGTCTACAACATCATTCATTTCTTCTGATAAAAGACAGTTCAGTGAAATAGTAAAGAACACGACTCTGGAGCCAGACTGGCTGCTCTGAATTCCAGCTTTTCTATTTTCTAGGTATATGTATGATCTTGGGCAAGTTCCTTAATCTCCTTATGCCTCAGTTTGCTCATCTGTAAATTGGGGATAAACAGTAACTAACATATGGAGTTGTTGTAGGGATTAAATGAGTTAACATAAAGCACTAAGAACCATGCTTGGCACGTGGATTTAAGTGTTTGCTGATTAGTAGCATGGTCCATCATCTATTTTGGTCTTTCCAGGATGGTGAACTACGTGTTAAGACTGATCTGGGAAAGGAGAAGTCTTTAAGGGCTCTTGACCTTCAGCCAATTTGAAGTCACTGGATTATGCAGCTCATGGATCCAACTGGTTCTAGGTGGCCCACCTGCCTCCCTCCACCTAAACCTACTCCCAGACCTCTAAGAGCCACAGAGGACCCTACTTGAACTGCTGGTCCTTAGTGCTGCGTGTCTTGGCCAGGAAGCGCTCGGCCAACTTCTCCAGGTTACGAGAGTAGTCCATCTCAATCTCAGCCTTCTTCCGGAAGAAGTCCTGGAGGTCTTGCAGCAGTTGCACTCGAAGCTCACACTGCTGATCCAGGCATTTCATCTGCTCTGTGAGCTGAGCACGGATTTCTGCAGCAAAAATAAGGGAGGACAGTCAGAGAGAAATCCCTAAACCAACACCCATATAAGCCAACATCCACTCATCTTCCATTTAGTTATTCTCTGTCCCCTGGGGAACTCAAAGCCCTTTCCTTTAAAAAAAAAAAAAAAAAACTAAATCCTAATTGGCCATATGGTGTGGGGTATCTCCAAAAACCCTAGGAACTTTTTACAGACCAATGAAGAATACTGTGAATCAGAAATCTGTTGCATCATTTAAGAGAAACTGCTTATTTGACATAATATTCAGAGATACCACTTATTGAGCAACTTACTGTGTTTCTGGCACTGTGCTGAAAGCCCCAGTGAATTCTCTCTCAACCACCCTATGAGGTAGGTGCTACTCTCACCCCCATTTTAAAGATGAGAAAACTGAGTCTTGATGCTGAACTATTAAGCAGTGAAGCTAGGATTCTCACCCAGACAGGCTGACTTTAGAGCCCAAGCTCAGCCTCTAATACTTCCTTCCTCTCACCATTTCAAAAAGGTTTTCAGCGTCTTTCCAAATAGGATGAGGGTGAGTATATTTTAACCAAGGTAGTGAAGAACCTGCCCAAGGTCAAATGGTAGCAATTAAGAATGAAACAAGCTCTCAGGCTCTAGCCAAACCCATTCACTGTGAATCAGATTCCATAGTTTCCAGTATCACAGAATATAAATCAATCTTCAAAAGGCTGACTTAGAAAGAGATTTTGTCAGCAGCAACTATCACTCCTATCTCTGTTGCTTCATCCTCACCAATTCCTCAGAGCTTCTGCTCTGTCAGAAACATTTCTGGCTATGCTCTAATTGGGCAGATTTCTGGAGGGCCAGGGTCCTCATATAGAGCTTGCAAACACCTTCTCTCTGGAGCCATAGACACTGCAGCTCCATATGCAGCCAGACCTGCCTCAAAAGCAGTATTGCATTTGTTACTGACACGAGACACCAATCAGCCAGGAATGTAGCAGGCAGACCTGACACCCACAGGAAGCAGCCTGGCAAAGCCAGATTGCTTTGTAGCTCAGAAAAGGTCTGTAACACATATCTTTCAGAAGTTATGTCCCAATCCCCAGCCGAGTCAGAATAGAGCCATTTCTTTCATCTTCTACCCCAGCAAGCCTGCTCAATTCCAAGTACATTAGGATGGGATGGTGACTCCAAGCCCAGAGAAAATGAACACCTTCATTATGCCTTTTCTTATGCGTGCTCTTAATTCACTCCCAGATAGTATAGTTGCAATGACACATTCTGTCTATGCTATGTACTGCATGCACGGGGGGTCTGGTGTTTCATCCAAGGTGTGGATAAATTAGAAGCAAATCCAGGATTAGGGCTACAGTGTTCAATGGTTTGCCAACTACTCCTTTTATGAAGCAAAAAGGGGTGCATAAATGGTGCATTTAGCTTTGTCCTGGAGCAGTTGAAGGTCCATAATCTATCCCCACCTCTGTTTGTGTTTCTGTTTTCACAGGTAGCAGTCTGTAGCACAAGTAGTTAAGTACTGCAATACTTAACTGGTCCCTTGTGGGTGATCTTAAATGCAGTTCTCACCTTCTGCATCCCTGCACCTCCCCCTCGCGGACCACCAATGCCACCCAGCCCTGCAGTAACCTCACCTGAACTGAAATTGAGCACTGGTGGATTGTTGCAAGCAGACAGAAGGCTGAGCAGAAAAGCCGCCTGCTTCATCACTCATCAAAGCTCTCTTGTTCTGCGTTTTTCAGAGTCTGATTACAAGAGTGTTGGGGGAGGAGGGAGAGAGGGGAGAGCTGCAGAGGTCACATCAGGGATCTGGTTCTTGCCAGGGATTTCTGGGCGTCTTAAAGGAAACAGCCCTTGTTGAGACTGTTCCTAAAGGCATCTGTCCCCCTTCTATCTATTAATGAGAAGCTGGCAGTAGTAGTTATGGGGTAGACAGACTGAGTGGAGAGAACATTCAAATGCTCTTTGATATTACTTAGAACTTGTCCACTAAGTAAGAATCAGGGTCTCTTAGGGTGGAAAGGCTCTTCAAAGACTCAGTCTGTAACAAATGTGCAAGGGGATGTGTCAGCAGTAGGGTTTCCAGCTCCCTATGAGTTACCTGAAACTCATCTATGACTTGGCCTCAATGATCTCACAATCAGGGAAGCAACACAGAACATGCAAGACTGGATGAAGCTCACCCCCCTCCCAAAACACACAGAAAATAGGGCTAGGAAAATCCCCATGATGCCTGTAAAATTCTAGAGGTAGTTCACTCCAAGGTTTGTCCTGTCTAAGGAAAAAGCACTTCACAGGAAGCCTCTGAGATTAATAAGAGGCCCCCAAGCACATCCAGCCAGCACTCATGGGCTTCTGCTATGACTTTTCCAGGTGTCTCAATGAGCACCAACTGCATCCCATCCTCAGGACCCTGAAAGGAAGGAAGCAAGTGTTTACCCAACAACTTCTATGGCCCTTATATACATCATCTCATTTAATCCTTTGGAAACCCAAGGAGGGGTTGCTATGAGTCAGATCCGACACAGTGAGTTTGAATGGTCTATAAGAAGGAGCTCTGGTGGTGTAGTGGATAAGGCATCTGGCTGCTAACCAAAAGGACAGCAGTTCAAACCCACCAGCCAGCTCATGGAAGGAAGATAGGGTGATGATCTACTTCCGTAAAGATTTACAGCCTCAGAAACTCAATGGGAATTGCTATGAGTCAGAACCGACTCGATGATAGTGAGTTAGGTTTTTTGTTTTTTTAATGGTCTATAAGAGATGTCTAAAGAGCTCTGGTGGTGTAGTGCCTAAGGCATTTGACTGCTAACCAAAAGGCTGGCGGTTCAAACCCACCAGCTACTCCTCAGAAGAAGATTAAGCTATCTATTTCCGTAGTGGTACTGCCTCGGAAACCCAAGGAGGGGTCACTATGAGTCAGATCCAACTCAATGGCAGTGAGTTTGGTTTGGTTTTGGTAAGAGATCTCCAATTCCCCCAGTTGCACAAATAAGAAAGAAAACTGAAGTAAGATGGATTAAGTTATTTACCAAAGAGTCATATAATGAGGGCAGTGTAATGCTCAAGCTGAAGTAAGGTTTGCCTGGTTTCTCAAAGAGGCTGATGGTAGAAGCATGAAAACAAGAGAAACAGAACCCCAGTTTGAAGTTTAGGACATATTTCTGAGTATATCATAGTGATTAAGGCTCATCCCCTTCACCTTGCAGCTGACGGGTGATTCAGCCCCTCGGAGCCAAGTTTGGACCAGCCCATTGACTCATGAGCTAGCCCATGTTTCAACTAGCCCACACTTGAGCTGGATCCCTTTCCTGCTTCCTAGATATACTCTACAGGGCAGCTCTGAAGGAAGTGCTTTCCTTATCCTATGAGCACACCCTGAGGTCTGCCAGCAAGCCCAGAGGACAGGGAAATTGAGAAAGCCATAGCCCCACCCCCGAGCCAGGAAAAGAAAGTCTCCACTAATAGATACCACCTGCTACTGTGGTTTATTTGTGATATGACACCACTGAGCATCCTCCCCCATCCCAGCCTGCCTTGAAGGAGAAGCCTCCCTTGCTACCACCCTCAGAGGCTTCCCATGGACATTTAAGAGAGACTCTAGCCATTCCCACCCCCAGGACTGCAGCTCTAAGACATAACGGACAGGGCAGAATGTGCTGCCTCAGGCTTTTGCTGCTGCCGCTGCTACCGCTGCTGCTGCAAGACAAACAATGGTTCCCAAGAAGACAGCTGTGCCAGGCCTAGTCCTCTATCCATGCACATAAGGGGCAGGAGACAATAGGCTACTGAATGTCAGCACGCCTGGGCCCTGTGCCCAGCCTGGAGGCCCCTTTGCACCCTGGCCTACCAACAAACCACAAGGGCAGAAAGAAGAAAGGGGCAATTTATAATAACATGAAGGAATTCCTCACAGTTCTCTTGTATGTTTAGGCAAGCACGCATGTATGTGCACACGTGTGCACCTTCACAGATACACACTACTCATACAAAGTGTCACCACCCACATGGTAGTTCAACAGAGCAACTCAAGGCAGTTTGACAAATCCAGTTTAGAGTTGGAAGAGACTTCTGAGAGCTATGAGGATGGAGGGGTCCTTCTAGGTTCTGTTCCCACATGAGAAGAAGTCAAGATTTAATTTTTAAAAGCAGATGCATCTCAAAGGTATGAAAGAATGCCTTGGCCATGCACAAAGCTTATGTACTAAGGTCACCATCAGGATTATCCAATAAGCAAAGTAAGGACAGGCTTACTTGTGCTTACTTACTAATCTGTAGTTAGTTCACATGGGGTTCACCACATGGGGTTTACAACATGGGTACTCCATCCCTGTCAGGGACTGTAAATTCATAAAGAGGTTTTGATTCTCCAGGAAGGTACTCTGGGGCTGGAAGAGAGACAGATGCCAGTCATACCTAGGAGCAGAGCCTTTGATATGCTGAAAAAATGTGAAATTGCTCACTACAGATTAGTAAGTAAGCACAAGTAAGCCCGTGCTTAATTTGCTTATTGTATGATCTAACAGTAGTCACCATGAACTGCCTGAATTGGCACACATCAAAAATGTCCTCTGCTGAGAATGTAACACAGCCCACTCATTTAGCAAATCTTCATTGGGCCCCTACTGTGTGGCAGGCCCTGTGCCAAGTGACAGGGACAGGCCCTGCCCAAATGAAACTCAGGTTAACAGGAAAGAAAAAGGAGAGGAGAGCAAAGATAACTGCTTTTGCTTTGAATATTTTTTATTGTAGCAAAGGCATAATAATAATAAGTCCCAACCTGAAGACTGAAAATTTAAAAATCGTCATGGCAGAGAAAAAGTAATCAAGCCTAAGAAAATATGTCCTCTGACTCTTACTATTTTTTAATGACCCTTGACCAAAAACAACAGCTTTGCTTGAAAGAGGGACCAAAGTTTTCAAGTAAGTTTCCTGAGGATCAGAATTGATCTTTGACTAACACATCTTTCTAAGATTCAAGTCAAAATTAAACCCTATTGTCCTGA